ACTCACTGTTTCCTTACCCTTGTCCTGGTTCCTGGAGTAATGTCTGGTTGCATACTTATTTATCAGAGTCTGATGCTAGGATCCACATATGAGGGAGAACATATGTCGATTTTTTTTTCTGAGATTGTGTTACTTCACTTAGTATAACAGTTTCTAGTTCCATCTATTTAGCTGCAAATTTCATGATTTCATCTTTCTTTACTGCTGAGTAAAACTCCATCGTATATATGAACCACATTTTCATTAACCACTCATCAATTGAGGGACACCTAGGTTGCTTCCATCTCTTAGCTATTGTGAAGAGAGCAGCAACAAACATGGATGTACAAGTGTCTCTGCAATAGGATGAGTTCTTTGGGTATATGCCAAGGAGTGGTATAACTGGGTCAAATGGTAGGTTCATTTGTAGTTTTTTAAGAGTTCTCCACACTGCTTTCCATAGGGGTTGAACCAGCTTGCAGCCCCACCAGCAGAGGATGAGTGTTCCCCTTTCCCCATATCCCCTCCAACATTTGGTATCATTTGTTTTCTGGGTATACTGCACTTTTACAAAAGTTGCAGTTTTACTGTGTCAGTCACACTGGCCTGGAGTAATTTATTACTGAAACTTTCCTGTACTTTCAAAAATGGACAATTTCAATAATAAATCATTTGGATATCATTGATTCCTCTTCTTATACCCCTTATAGATAGTTCATGCATTAAACCATACTATAGTTACAATGTATTCTATTTGTTTCCTATGGGTCCCTGCCTAACTCAGCTACCTACAATAGTGACCAGCATGTCATCATATGAAGTCAGTATCTTATATTGTTTTCTCTACCTTTAATGTCTACTTTGTAGTACCATACTAGCTGTATAACCTTTGCACAGGAGACAGCGGCTCTTAATGGATCGTTAAATTCCAATATCTAGAAGCTCTATCCTTATTTTTAACTGTGAAAGATGAGTTATAAGAAATTCTGGGGGCTGGAGAGATGGTTCACTGGTTAAAAGCACTGGCTGCCCTTGTTGGTTGTTGTGAGCAGATGTTTAGTAAACTATAGCCTCTAGGATAGTCCTTGTCATGCCTTTATTTTTCACAGCATTGTGACAAAACCATCTATTACAAAAATATTAAAAATGTTTATTTTCTGATCTTTTGCAGAAAACACTTGTATATTTCTGGTCTAGAGAATCATGCCATGCAAACTTATAGTAGGTTTGGTTGCTGGTTTCCTGTAGTGTTTACAATCCTTTTATTTAAAAAAAAAAAGTCATTAGCAATGTGATGATTTGAATGAAAATGTCCCCCATAGGCTCCAAGTATTTGGACATTTTGTCCCCAGATGATGGCGCTGTTTTGGGAAGTGTTAGAAGGTGTGTCTATCCTGGAGGAAGCACGTCACTGGAGGTGGGCTTAGAGAGTTCTTAAGCCTTGTCAGATCTCCAGTTGCTCTCTTACTTCCTATGCCTGTGTGATGATGTGATAGCTTAGTTTCTGCTGCTCCTGCTCCAGCCACCTCTAGCCACCATGTCTCCCTGCCATAACGGACTGTAATTCCCCTGGAACTGTAAGCTCAAATAAACTCCTCCTTCTATAAATTGCTTGGGTCAGTGCTTCTATCACAGCAAAAGAAAAGTGACTAAATGGAATGGTTCTAGGGAAACAGAATTGAAAGGATGAATTTCTTTAATGGGCTTGTTGGTATTTGGAGCAGGCTCTCCAACTCAGAGTCTTCAGGTAGCATGGAGAGCACTGAAAATCCTTGGTGTAGACTATTTGAAACAATTATGGAGATATACGCATTTGAATCTTCTAACTCACCTCTTGTGAAGAGCAAGAAATATACTGACTCTATACATAAAACATTTGACAATTTGTGGAAAAATAAGAAAAATAGTGATGCTGGCTGGTTAGTTCTAGCATCTCTGGATAAACTGTGAAGGTGAACAATGAGCTTAATGATAAAATTGGCAAACTCCAGATTCACATCAACAGTTTAAAAGTTTCCAAGTGTGCCCTGGAAGAGAATCTTCTCTCCAGCAGCCAGAGAGCTAAAGCTGCAGAAAATCAAGCTGGAGCCCTTATTATACATTTGGCTGACCTACAACATAAATTTAATTCCCAGCCTCGAAGGGTGTCAGCAGTAAAGGTGAGGGCATTGGTAGGGAAAGATTGGAATCCTGACAGGTGGGATGGAGATGTGTGGGAGAACCCTGAGGAGGCTTGAATCCTCAGACTCTGAGGAATTTGCTTCACCTGATGAATTATTCTCCCCACCCTCAGCAGACCTATCCTCCCCACCCTTGCCTGAGGAAACTAATTCCATTGAGAAAACTAATCCCATTCAGCAAGATAAAGCTGATGTCCCTCAGGGCCCAGTTGTTGCATCTAGACCTATAACCAGACTTAAAGCTAAGCAGGCCCCTAGACAAGAGATATAAAGTGTGGCCCTCGAGAAGGTGCACTATACTACTAAAGAATTTAGTGAATTTGCTAATTCATTCAAGCAGAAGTCTAATGAATGCATCTGGGAATGGATTTTAAGGGTGTGGGATAATGGTGGAAGGAACACAAAATTGGATCAGGCTGAGTTTATTGACATGGGCCCCCTGACTGGGGATTCTAGGTTTAATATGGAAGCTCGTGCAGTTAAAAAAGGTCTTAAAAGTTTATTTGAAGCCAGGCATGGTGGCACACACCTGTAGTCCCAGCACTTGGTAAGCAGAGCCAGGTGGATCTCTGTGAGTTCAAGGCCAGCCTGGTCTATGTAGTGAGTTCCAGGACAGCTGGGGCTACCCTGCTTCAAAAAGACAAAAACAAAATATTTTATTTGATTGGTTGGCTGAGGTATTTATCAAAAGATGGCCTACTGACAGAGAGCTGGAGATACCAGATATCCCTTGGCTTACTGTTGATGAAGGGATTGTAAGGCTATGGCAAATTGGTATGCTTGAGTGGATTCAACGTGCAAAACCAAATCCTCCACCAGGGGAGGGCCCAGAGGACATGCCTTTTACTGATTTTATAAGATGGAAAATACTCAGAGAGTCCCCAGAACATTTGAAGAACTTTGTTTTTGCTCTTTTCCTTATGCCAGATCTTACAGGTGGAGATGCTGCTGCTCAACTGCATAAATTAAATGTAAAT